AAACACTTGATCCCAACCAAATATATTTTCCTTTTTTTTTTTTTTTTATAAATCAAAATAAAATTTAAGAATATATTTAATATACATTCTCAACTTACTTTTACCCACCAAAGTTTTTTTAAAAATAAACCATATAAAAATAAATTAACAGGACCAATATCAATTTCAACATTAAATAAATCATAATCTAATTTATTTGGATGAAATGTTTGACGATTACCCATTGATTTAACATGTTGAACATATAAAAGATCTTAGAAAGATAAGATAATTATATTATATATGAGAAATAATTATTTATTTTCTTTTTACCAGATCTATTTGTATCAATTGGTGGTGAAGAATGAAGAAGAATTTCAATAAGAACTTTTATATTAGGAACTTCACCACAATCAAAACAGCCATCACTTGAAAATAAAAGATATATTCAAATAATTCAACATTTTTATTTATGGTTTTGATACATCTAATCGAGTTCTGGTGTATGTGATTTTAGTTTTTTGAGCGCTGGCCCTTAGTCGACGATTTGATCCATAATCCAATAGATCAGTGCTGTCTCTATTACCGATAAAATTTCAATGTCATACAGTTTTAGTTTGCCTGATTTATGATATATTCTTTGAATAATTTCTACATGCCCATATCTCCGGTTACTTTTAATCATTTGCCCTTGAAATTTTCTCTAGTAAATACCATGCTAGTACTATCCCAAATAAGGGATGTTTTCCACCGCCTAAAGATTACAGCGGATTGTAGTATTCTATCTGTAATGCGATATAGACATGTGAATTTTTATTTGTTAATAAGAAAATGAAAGTTAATACATTTCAATAGGAAAAAAAATCCAGTGTTTTCATCAAAACATCATCCAACAGGGTTGAAGTTTGTGTACTTTTTTAATCCGATATCGAGACTTCTTGCGACTACTTTAATTCGCTTGAAACTACAAAAAATCTTTTATTTCGCTTTGGACAACTTTATTCTTGTAACCTCGACTCCGACCTCGGCAACTTTTCTTTCCATAATCCCGCACATCTCATATCGAATAACGAGTGGTCCGAAAGTTTTCACACAAAATGTTTCTTCATTTTTCGACCGATTAAGTATGTCAATAGAAATTTTCGAACAAAGGGTTAGATTCAGAATTTTTGTAGGACTCATAGTTTAGGAGCTATGAGCGAATCTTTGGAAGGCTTAAAAATAAAGTTTGGACAGGTTTCAGTGCACAAAAAAACATCCAAAGTAAACGTAAAATTTATTTCAGATACTCCTAAAGAAAGAGTAAACATTTCTCTACAAAATGATAGCCTGATCATTAATTTACAATGAAGCTTCTCTGAGTAATGAGAGTTTTAGTAAGAGACACAGAGACGTTTTCGAAATTCTCTGATTTCCAGACTGTCAAAAAGAGCTTGATTATTTCTAAAAAAATACTGCAAGATGCTCAGTTCTTAGCTCACTTTGTAAAGAACGGACTCGTCCTTGACGCTGTGTAAAAAATTGATAATAGAAGAAATTCAATAAGGGATATTATTGTTGAGAAGGACGTATGTTGTCAAGATGATGATCCAAAAAATTTCAAAATGCGATGTAATCAAGGAAAAGAAATTTGAGCTAAGCTAAATTGGACGTCTTTACGACGGAAATAAGATAGTGCCGAGAAATGTTGATGAAAAAGAGCAGAAAATCAATTCCAAAAGACATACGATCACATTTTGGTTTTTTGCATCTGTTAATTCAACTGCTTCCTTCCAAACTTTATTTTTGAGTCTTCCAAAGATTCGCACATAACTCCTAAACTATGAGTCCTACAAAAATTCGGAGCATAAAATCCTGAATCTAACCGATTGTTTGAAAGTTTCTATTAACATACTTAATCGGTCGAAAAATGAAGAAACATTTTGTGCGGAAACTTTCGGATCACCCGTTATGTTTATTGTTAAATTTCTATTGAAATAGAGAACGATGTATAAGATAGATTTTCTAATATTTACCGTTTCTCAAATTCATCTGACAA